GCAAAAAGTAAGTAGTATATTGTGTTGCAATCGTTAGATCCATACTAAAAGGGTTATGAATTCTTGTTCTAATCGCAATCTATCGAGCTTACTTTATGTCATTGAGTACATTGAAACAAGCATTCATTTAAAGTATGCAGGTACACAATTACCCATATATGTCATAATGTTATATTTTTTATTTACATGAAAGCAGAGCTCGGGTACATAATTTGATAAGAATTAGTACATTAAAATCAATAGGGGGTACATCGGAGCCATGCTGAAGTACTTACTAGCTCAACCAAGCTATACTTCTTTGAAATATTTTTGGCTAATTGATATTGAGTTTATAAGTGTGCAGTAGTTTGGATTGTTATGTCATGGATCAAAATATTTTAGACAATATGTGTTTGTCTTATTACGCAAAAAACACTTGAAGTCCTAATAGTAGATTACAACTAGCGTTTTCACTTGAATGTTGTTGTGTGTGCTACAATGTAGATTACTATGTGAAAATTCTAAAGATTTTCAATTCGTGACATAAATCATTTATTCTAACAACTAATATAATTTAACTTAGTCATTTATAACTTGTTTAGCCATCTACAAGTGGAGGTTAGAGTATAATTCTACATATATCATCCAATATAATTAAGTCATTTTTTTACTTGTTTAGCCATCTATAGTAAATATGTTGTTTATCTCTTTATATAATTTAGAGTGTTATAGAAATACTATCACAATGAATTCATCCCTGATTACCGATAATAAGTGAATATTTTGAACCGAAAATGGTCGGTTACCTAAGCACAGGTTACCAGGGTATATATACCCGATATTGAAGCATGTGTTACCAACATTATCGGTACGTAAGATCTGTGCTAGAGCATATCGGTATTTGATGCAGGTATGTTAGTATGTGCTCCGGGTACAAACACCGACATTCAAGGTATAAATAATGATTGTTTAGGTATTATCTGTGTAGTAGCAAGTATTTGTGAATGTGCTTGATTGCAGTTGATCCTCTTATGCATCGGCCAATTCACGAACTCGGTGTGAGTACTTCTTCTCCCAGCCCCGATGGAAAATTTTGGGCATAGTACGTTTACATTCGACAACACATGCCCACACTTTTCAATGGCAAGACAATAAAGCATATACAAGTAACAACCAACATAGTTTAACTAAGTCCTTTATTACTTGTTCAGTCATCCACAATAAATATGTATTGTTTATCTTTACATAGAGTTCTGGGATTCACGGGAATACTATAATGATACATTCATCCCTGATTACCGACAATAATTGAATGTTTCAAACAAAGAACGGTCGGTTTTCGAAACACAAGTTACCAGGGCATAGATACTCTCGGTGGAAAGGTTTGGGCATTATACATTTACATTCAACAGCTTATGCTATGTTTTCCAATAGCGTGATTAAAAAGTATGTAACGTAATTCAATGAGTGTAATATAATTACTTTATGCGTCAATAGGATATAACCGGTTGGATCCGCTGGCATATTTTATTGTAGTAAGTGGTATGTAACTCTATTACACAAATACATAATGAAATAGTAGAGGTTTGTAAATATATTCTGCAAGTATATTACTAATGTACTGAAGTAGTTAATGATGCAACTCTGTAAAAACGAATGATAAATATAATATCTTGTTATTTTCACGGTATTTGAATTCTATTATTGGGTAATCATTTGAAATTTTAATAGTTGATTAAAACCCGTTGTTGTTGCCAAGTACAACTATTACCTATATAGCACAACTAAATACCAAATTTCCACATGTCACACAACTACATTGCTATTATGAAGTTATATACGTTAATATTAATGTATTCTGCAAGCATGTTGGTAATGGACTGAGCTATCTGGTGATGCTAACATGTTGGAACAAATGGTAAATATAATATCATGTTGTTTCCATAATGTCAGCTCTGGTGTTGAATAACGTGGGCTCCGGGCTAAAGTTATTAATCAAGCCAAGCAAGCGATGCCACTTCAACCTCATCTTTGGGCAGTCCAGAAAATGACTGAATTGAGTCATTTTGATGGCTCTAATATGTTCATCTAATATGCGTTTCTTCATTTTCTCCACATCGTTATGAAAACATGATACTGCAAATCGGATGATAACCTATTTGTATTCTTTCCCCGGTTTGTAAATAAATACCATCAGTTCACATTACCCGAACAATCAAACAAAAAAACTAAAATATGCAACTCCGGGTAACTAAACAAAATGTACATTTACAAAATTAACAAAAATTACAAATTAAATAAATAAAATAATCCAAAATCGGGGCCAAAATAAAACACCCAACTCGGTGTATCTGGGCAAATATACGAACAACTTCAAATCCGATTAACAAATAAAACTACACCGATCACTTAGGGCTTCTCACCACCAAACCAATGCATACAAACACAGGACCAAGACTTACGCCTCAAATAATCGAACAAACTACGGTATAATATCAAGGTCAACAAATCAAAACTTGAAAAAGGTCCAATCTGGCACTTATTTCTTCGAGCTTGTCTTGGGGGATGAGAGCGATCAGCTGTTTTCTTCACATTTTTGCACCGAATCGATTGGTACTTGATTGCCGGAGGTTCGAGAGCATCGGTTTGCTTAGAGATTGAAGAAAAAAAGGTTAAAATCGTTGTGAGGGGAGTTACGAGAGGTTTCCTACCTTTCTTCCGATTAAATCGTGAATTAATTTTTTTTTTAATTCACAAAAAGAAAATGTACGCAATTTCTAACTAGAAATATATAAAGTTACAATAGGGGTAGAGCGGGAAGTAATATAGGTATATATTACAATATTTGAAGTATTGATCAACCTATTTCGAGTACATATTGCGTACACAACGGTGATTGAGAGAAAAATACATGTTGGGGAGCTATAACAAACCTAATTCATAAAGTATGGACTGCTGACTAACTAATTTCTAATAGGGACTGAATTGCAAGTGTATTTGTCTGATAAAAATTTTAATCCAACTTTCCATTTACGAAATGATATTTATATTGCATATATATTTTAATCTTTTAATTATATATATTATTTCTTATTTTAAAATTACTAACTATATCTTTAAAAATAGAATAAAATAATATCATAACGTCCTGTTATTATCTAATAATATTATCGCCATTCAAAATCTTATCCCTAATCAGAAGTCTAATTAAATGTCATTGGCTTGAAAACCTTATTCCTAATCAAAACATTTTCTCTAATCAAAATATCATTTACAATGGGGGGAAGTAGAATGTAGTAGCTATTATTATTATTACAATTCATTGATGCCAGCCAGCAGTGCAGCATGCGCAATAATGAATTAATAGTTCGTTGGTAGCCTATGATGACGAGACTGGTTTGTGAAGTAGAGACGAGTAACCTGTTTGTTGTACCTGGAAAAGAAAAGAAGAGAAGAGACGTTCCAAAAGGATAATTGTGATTCATTGCATTGCATTGCATGTAGCAGCAGCCTTGTAATCGAAACCAACAAGCTGATGGAGATGATACTTCTTGATAACTGTGGAAGGATGGTGAACAGAACAATTAACTAGGTAGGCGAATTGTGTGTTTTTTCGTCAAATTTATCAATCAAAGGTAGTAGCATTTGGACAAGTTAAAAGCAAGCAGAACAGGAGAGGCAAACTGGAAGCAAAGCACTTGCTTTGCTTTGCCACACAGGACCCATCTGCAGCGAGAATGTATCGTGTATGTATGTATGTATGTATTCACCCACTCAAACTTTGATGACTTACTTGACTTGTTGGAGTTGGGGAAAGATACAGAAATCACTGTCTAACTCAATTAACAAATTTGACATCGACATCAACATCAACATCAATTACTACTTACGAGGTGCAAAAATATCCTCTATCCTCCCATCCCCGTCGTAGGAAGGAAGGAAGGAAGGAAGGAAGGATTTCAATCATTAAATCAAAGTTGGATTCCAAATTGATAAAAAGGGGTGGGTGGGTGGGTGACTGGGCTTAGGGTCGATAATGATGGACCAGCAAATCTGAACACATAAAAAATATCTCTTTGAAATCTATCAATTACTGCTATTAGTACAAGATTTGGAATTTGGTAAGAGGGATGGTTTGTGCGTGTCATTTGGCATTTGGGATCTCTCTGTTCTGTGCTGTTAGAACAAACACACTTGACTTGATTGATGATGATTAAGGAGGGTTGTGTAAATAGGTGCTCTCTATAATTAAGAAAAGACAAGACAGGATCGGAGGACCACATGATGCTTTCTTTAATGGCATTGGAATTTATGACTGTATATGAAGTTAGCTGGTGTCAGTGACTGGAATCTCTCTCTCTCTCTCTCTCTCTATCCTTTTCTTTTCTTTATATCTGTGGTGAGCAAGACAGACAAACAGTGCGACAGTAGCATTAACAATGAACACACACTTGAGTGCGTGCGTGGCCATGTGTTTAATGGCATAAGCAGGAGGGCAGGCAGGCAGGCTCCCATGCCTTGTCCACGTACGACAGTGATATGAACAAACTGATGATATATATATATATATATATACATATTTATTTATAGTATATATTTCATCACCCATCATCACTATTCCGTAACTTGTACAACGCTTCCCCCTTTCATCACCATCCGTTTCACGTTCTCTTTCGAATACGTATGTATGTATGTACCTGACCATCCTATAGCTACATATATATATATATACATAGAGAGATAGAGAGAGAGAGAGCGCTCTGCCTCCGCCCATCAGGTAGATTCTTGATTCATCCACAAGGGCCGCAGCTTACCAATTTGCTGCTGTACAGTGAGCGACCGAACTGAAAGCAGTTGGGGGAAAATAGGGTGGGGGTGGGGGTGGGGGTGGGGGTGGTGGGGTTTATTAAATATGCCCTGCCCTCCCTTTTGGGGAAGGAGAAACACAACTAACTGCAATGACAGTGACCAAAGTACTATATGCACTTACATACATACGCCCACCTACGTACCTGCAGGCATACATACATACATACGGTAGGTAGCTAGATATAGCTAAGTGATGGATCCAAGATGCAATAATAATTTCCATTCTTCGTTCTTCTTCAATACACAGGTATTTAAGCATATTCACATCCAAATGCCAATCACTAGGGCAAAACTCAACCCCAAATCAGATCTGAGGGTAAGGCAAATGATCTTTGCAATGAGATAAAGCTCGCTCTTGTTGCTACTTTAGGATGAACTTTAGCATAATTCAACCACATTGAGTGCTACCAAACTTACAGAGTCGCATACCAGAAAATGACTGGTCCATACCATCATACCTTATCCGAGAATGTATCAAGTCTCGATGAAACAGCACTTCGCCCATGGCATCATAATATCATATGAACTTCAGATGCGAGGTTGAACTGTGCCTTACTGACTGAATACCAGTGAGTATCTATTTCTTTTAACTTTCACTTCTCCAAGTGGAGCTAAGCTTGAGCGATTACAATGAGGACAGAACCTTTGGAAAATAGAAATAATCAACCAATTAAAATCTCAAGTTCAAATCAATTATATTGCCTCCAGCAAACTCACTAGTTCCATTCCACAAACCATACCAAAGATAAAGAAAGCAGCAATCTAAGCCTATATATGTAATTAATTAATTAGTTAATTTACACAATATAGAAATCTAAGCTGCTATCTAGCAAAACTCTTCAAAGAAAAGAATAATTATTGATCCAAAGAGGCAGACAGATGAATCAAGCTCTGGGTAGGTATGGAGGGAAGTCAAAGAGGGAAAATAGAAAATCAAACCTTAGTGAATTCTTGACCATATACACGTAGCAATTATACATACAATACAAGGCCCATCCACTCCAAGAGAAACTGAGCAATCTACTGCCCCGATTCTTCCGAATTCTCCTTAGAGGATAGCTGCTGCTGCTGCTGCTGTTGTTGCTGCTGCTCCTGATTTGGAGGTTGGTGCTGCTGATGATGAACAATTCTAGCCTGCCCGATCTGCTGGTAAATCTGGTTGAGCGCCTGAGGATTCAAAATGCCAATGTTCCCATCATGCGATAGACCTAGCTCCAATCCAGGGAGCTGGAGCTGCTGCCCACCTAAAATGGAGCTGAAACTCATATGCCCCCCTCCCCCTCCCCCTATATTCCCTGCTGTTGCCAAGTCAAACCCAGCTGGGTATCCCATCTTCTGCAAATAATTTGAACTCTCGGTCCCCATTGATGGACCTGACGAGGAGGATGACGACGAGGACGATTGAAATCCAAACCCGCTCACAGGCACAGCAGCAGCAGGGGCAGGGCCGGGGGGCCATAACCCTCCTCCTCCTCCTCCTGTACTGGCACCCACACCCACACCCACATGTTGATGTAGTCTCCCCAAATTACCACCAACCACAGGCCAGGGGGTCCCACCGCTCATGTGCACCCCCAAATCGTCGACTTTATGGTGAAGACCTGATGAAATTGAACTCCCCTGCTGAGAAACAGAGCCGCCTGCGGCAGCTAAAGCCGAAGCAGGTATGGTGCCAGTTCCCGTGGCGGCAATTATAGATGGTTCAGCCTGTTGTAGCAACCACTGAACAGTTTCCCCATCAGATTTGTGCCCTAATTCTCGGGTCAGCTGAAATATTCTTGCAGCGCAGAGAGCAGGCATCCTTATTCTCCTACCTCGTCCTTCAACTTTTGTGTGCCTATCTTTGTTCGAGCTTCGTTTAGGCGCTAAAGACTGTTTCTTTGGCTCTTCTTTATCTGCAATCACAATCTGAAAGTCTTTGATCTCTGCTGGCTTGGTCGCCCCTGCCCCTACGCTGTCGTTTTGGCTTCGGGGCGTTGATGACTGGGTGGGGAGGCTCAAGAAGCTCGGCATCTCCTGCGGCAGCTTCGAGTTCTTGGGATCCATCAGATCAGGAAATAGTTTTTGTTTCAATTTTCTCCGATTTAGAATCCAAAACTAAACTAGCGAAGCATCATCCAGTGATCAAATGATGCGAATAAAGTGTTTTGTGTGTGCAGGCATGCAGGCAATTGATTGATTGAAGAAGGGTGAAGAGAGGAGAGCAGAGGAGAAGACCTGAAGAAGAAGAAGAAGAAAAGAAAAAATAATAATAATAAAAAAATAAAATGAAAAGGGAAAAAGGAAATGCTGCAGTGGTGTACTGCTGTGATTGATTCAAGTTTTTAACTGATTTTAGCAAAAGAAAGGAATGTGAATGATGATAAAAGTTAAATAATATCTTGAAATCCCTAGGCAAAAAATGGGATCTTTGTCAAAATAATAAAAACAAATAAATAAATAAAGCAGAAAAAAGAACAAAAGGTGTCCGGGTTTTAATGAATGTGCCCCTTTACTTTCCTTTTGCACTGTTTCAGGGCTTTGACTTTTGACTTGCTCTTTTGATTTCGACAAAGGAAGGTTTCTGCTTGTGCTGCTTTCACTCAATACACAGTAGCTAGTAAGTAGTACTGAATCACTTCAATACATGTATAATCTTCTAGTACGTCATTAATAAATAATTTCATAGTTAAAGAACAAGGATAACATTAACAACTATCATACTATATATTCATTAATTCAGATTAAGAAGCACCCTGTCTGTTGGTCTGGGTTCCCTCTTATTGGCATAAACTCCATATTCCTGTCATTATTCCAACCAACATCACTTCATTGCATATATATATATATATATGTCAAGAGAGTCATCAAAAAGTAGCTAATTAGTGGAGAGACATCAGATCAGAACAACACCTGGCAGGCAGATCGAGAGAAAGAATGATTGGGATGGATGGTGAGCTAACTAGCCAGCTAGCTAGGTAGCTACCTATTGTTTGCTAATGAGCCCACCGCACCCCACACTCGGGCCATTCTCGTTATCACTATTATATTTTTTTTTGTCCGTTAACATTTTTTTTTTTTTTTTTTTCATTTTGGTTCATTTATAATAAAATATTTATTTTTTTTAAAGTAATTATACTATTTACTTGACATTACAAATATTCTTTCAATTTATAATATATTACACAAATATTATTACTTTTATATCACACAACACTGATAAGATTAGTTTAATCTTTTTACGATAGAGAGGGATGCACGTTTCAGGCATTGACCAACCTTGGGTGGAGAGTTAAAGAGGGAGGCGTTTTAACAATATACTTTTAATATAAAACAACTTGAAATTTAAAATAAAATACATTACAACAAGACCCTCTGCGTCCAATGTTCTTTTTACAAGTCCAAAAATTAAAACAAAAAAGAAAAAACAATAAAAAGTTTTTACCAAAACTTATACAATCACCCTTGTCTTTTCGAACAGAGATTTTACCATTGACTCAAACATTCCAACCTACTATAATATTTAGCATATTAAATGACCCAATTTAGTAACGTCATGCATCAAGAAGCATATTCTAACCACTATTATGGGCAAATTTCAATATCAAAACACCTAGTCACTTTTAACCACCTATCTCAATATCCATCGGTCATCAAAATTCAAGTACCCTATATACTTTTTCACAAATATACTATAACATTATTACTTTCAATAAGCCAAACAAAAGAATCATCATATGACATTCATCTATGCCCATCCGCCAAAATTACAAATCAAATTTTACACAAATTATAGCTGACACAGCATAACACGCACAAGTACCAGTATATATATATATAATTACAAATCAAGTTCCACACAAATTATGCTGGTGCAATGTAGCGTGCACGGACATTAGTATATATATATATAATAGGTGAGCGTGAGACCGGCCGACAGGTCATTGATTTGTTTTAGTACATACTAGTCTAAGTGATGTTGTTATATGCAGTTACTTACTATTGCTAAGATCTGATCTGATATAATTTGTGCTAGCTAGCCAATTAACTTTAAAACATGCATATGCATTGTGAATGTTTACTTATGGGATGAAGGGAGGGAAACTCAACAAACTAATGCTTATAGAAATATATATCATGTGTGGTGTGTTAATCTTTTGTATATATGCATCTAGCATGCTTAAGTGTAATTTATGCATATGTGTATATGGCATGGTTGGACGGACGTACGTGCGTGACTTGTCAATGCCAATGTGCTGCTGGTGTTGTTGCATTCCTTTAATTTCTTACATAAATAAATAGAAATGCAATACAGTGCAGGGTCGGGGTTGGGGTCGGGTCGGGATCGTTAATTAAGAAAAAAATAAGACTTGGTTTGGCCACCCCTTAGTAGAGCTCCATTGAGAAAGACCTTGGAATTGACCAATGAAAAAGGGATCCATAGAAAGGGTTTGAAATTGATGATCCCCCGATGAAAGAATAGAAGGAGGGATTGGTCCACCAGTACCCATTTCCTTGGGGCCTGATAGCTTAGCTCTAAAGTGAATTACATCAACCCTGCTCACGTAGCCCTTCTGTCTCTCAGGAATGCAACATTATCATCGCCAACCATACTACCCCCTTTTACCCGCTCTGCACTGGATGTTCCTTCCTCTATCATCCAACAACAGTATTATTATATTATATACTTTCTTACATTACCGTTAATTTTTTATTTATATTTTACGTCATTATTTCTAACATTAAAAATATTCTTATATTTGTATTATAAAATACTAATAGGAGTATTTTTACTTTCCTCTTAATTTATACTCATTCCGTCCCACATAATTTGTCCACTCTTTCTATTTTCGTTCGTCATACATAATTTATCCTTTATAATTTTTTTTTTATTTTAATTACAATTTAGTCATCTTAATCTACAGTTATTTTTATTAAATTATAATAATTTTTACTAATACACTTTGTGAGAAATAAATTATAAAGATTCAAAAATTGCATTATTATTAATAACGAAAATAGAGGCCTATAAATATGCATAATATACAGACTCGATAGATTTAAATCTAGTGGATAAAACCAAAATATAAAACAACTAAATCTAATTTAAAACTAAATAACTAAAATATCTCATCATTCCCCTCAAACTAAAGTGGTTTGGCAAAACAACTTGAGTTTGCAAAGAGATATCAAAGATAATACAACCACAATTTTGAGTTTTTTCTCCTACAGTAGATATAGCTTAGTAACATGCATTTCTCTGGGTACATTCAACCTGGAATGTACTTCCTCCCGGAGGTCTCCCAATTTTGAAATTTTTCTATAGTATCTAGTCTTTTCCATTTCTGCTTTTGATTTTATTTTTAGTTATGATCATACATGCATCTGTCTGCGATCCATTTGTTGCATTTTTTACTGCATTGAAAGTCCCGTTATTTTCGACTCCATTGAGAGTCCTGTTATTTCTGACTCCATCGAGAGTACCATTATATTTTACTCTATCGAGAGTGCCGTTATTTCCGATTCCATCGAGAGTCCTGTTATTTTCAACTCTATCGAGAGTCTTGTTGTTTCCGACTCCGTCGAGAATCCCGTTGTTCTTTACTCTAATTCAGTTGAGAGCATTGTTTCTGGTTTTGACAGGCTGGAGCGGCGGTGGCAATGACAGACAAGAAAATGTTCTTTTATTTGCGTCTATATTCAACTTTCTTATCAAACTCAAGTTAGTTTTTGTTATACCACTTGAGCTTGAGGGGAGATGTAGAAATATTTTAAATATTCAGTTTTAGATTTAGATTTGGTCTTATTTTATTTAGATTTGAGTCCATCGAGTCCGTATATTTTACCTATTTATAGCCTCTATTTTCGTTATGAATAATAATGCAGTTTTTGAGTCGTTATAATTGATTTCTCATATGGTATTAGAGTGGAGAAACATGGTAGACAATTCGGAGATACATACGCAGATATGACTTCAATCGTAGACAAAATCAGGACTCAAAACATAATTAAAATCATAAACTTAAAAACTAGAAACTATAGTCCAAATTGGAAGATCTCCGTTGACGCCATAAAATCAACATAAAAAAAGAAATCTCAAATTTGGGAGACCTCCGGACATTCCAAGTTGAATGAATGTACCCGAAGAAACATGGATTATTAAGCTCTGATATCATGTGAAAAATAAATTATTAAAACTAAAAAATTGCATTATTATTCATTACGAAAATAGAGGCTTATAAATAAGTATAATATAAAGGCTCCATAGACTTAAATCTAATTGATAAAACCAAAATATAAAACAATTAAATCCAATCTAAAATTAAATAACTAAAACACACTTCTTAATTATTTACTAATTACACTATACATAAAACTCCGTGCCCTCAGTAAAGTAAACGAAGGTAGTATAATAATTGAATCAACTCTGCACTTGCCACGTCATTCCAATTAGTTAATGCTCCACTAAATAAGTACATGCATACATACTTTTAATCGAATATAATTAATTAAATATAATATTTTTGTTTGATTGTAATTTGAAATTTATTTAAAATAAAATATGTAAATATTTGTTAAAATAATATTTTGACGTAATATTTTTTAAAAAAATTAATATCTTTTTAGTGAAAATTTTAAAAAAAATAATATTAATTTTGATTTGAAATACTAAAAAAAAAAAATCCAAATTACTCCCCCCGTCCCATATAATTTGTCAAAATTTTTTATTTTTATCCGTTCCAAATAATTTGTCATTTTTTTTAGAAAATTAATTATACACTTTAATCATATTTTAAATTTTTTAAATCTAAATTAAACTATTTAGTTATCTTAATTTTAATTTATAATTATTTTTTATTAATATATTTTTTAATTACTTACTAATTATATTTTATCTAAATTTTCGTATATATCAATATCATCTAGGACCGATGGAGTATTTTTTTAAATAATCTATTTTAATATAATAATATTTAAATATAAAATAAGTACATATATATATATAAGTACAATATGTTAATAATAAATGAATACTAGTACTAAATATGACAAATAAATAAATTAAATGTAGATTTATTTTTTAAATAAATATATATATACATATATGTTGACAATATTGGGTTTAATAAGTGCAATCCATCCTAATCCAATTGGATTTGTGAGGGCAAAATATAATTCTCATAGTCATTGGCCATGATTGCAAAAAGCCCATTTAGATTTATTTAGGTGGCGGGTGAACTGATATCAGTGGCCTCACTCCCTACTCTACTCTCATCTCATCCAATTTGTTCAATTTCTTACGTTACACATTCTTTATTACTCCTTCGTCCTAAATAATTTGTCCATATTTTCTATTTTCGTCCATTTTACATAACTTATCTTTTTTATTTTTGGAAATATAATTATGTACTTTAATCGCATTTTAAATTTTATAAG